CTAAGATGGGTAACATTCAACTGCCATGACATTCTGCCAGGGTTGCTGTCCAACCACAGTCCCACTTGATTTCTTTGGGCCAATTTTTTTGTCGGAATATTGAGAATGAGTGTATGTCTACTGCAAACCACAGCATGGTGAAAAACTGCCCAAGCTAGCTCAGATACTAGAAGCACTCTACTTGCCTGCTTCCTGAGAGGCTTCTGAGCAGTATAAATTAGCTTTGTGCTGCCATGACTAGACTGCTTCTGTTTGAGCTAACTGGTTTATAATTAACTTGGTCATCCCTACAGTACATTACAGTCTGCACTGTAGATTATGTTAAAGCTCTAGCTGAAATAACCCTTGGCACCTATTATATCCCATCATGGCTGATTTTTCACGTGGTAGAAATCTTACTGCATGCTATTATATAAAGACTGTAACAGGAAATAGAAATAAGGGAGGCTTTCATAACGCAGAATCTAAATGACTTAGAATGAATAGTGAGTTAGTGAAAGGCTTGTCAAAGAGACTATGGAACTGCTAACTCAACACTGAACTTTAACTAAAAATGAACTTTGACTCAAACTTGAAGAAAGAAGCTAAAGTTGAACTATGTTCCAAAACTGTATGATTGGTATCGGTGACTTGTGATCAAGTCTTACTCTTTGACCTTTTGCTTCCTGCATGCTGCATTCTTCATTAGATAAAGAATGACACTTCTTTATCATCTGTCCAACGTGGCTACAGTTTCATTGTAGGCTTTTTGATCAAAGTTTGGCAAAAGTGTGTACAGAGAGGAGGGTAAGGGACATCTGAAGAAAGCATAGGTGCTACTGAAACTGTCACTGGTGATTCCATAGATGGCATGTTACCACCATAGTAGGATTCTAGGGTCCTGGTTTATATAATGCAAGTTCCTAAATTAAGATGCAGTGTCTGCTGTTTGAGCAGATACTCTGATCTCAAACACAGCAGGCTGGTCCAGGGAAGAGAAAAAATGTAAATGCTTTTTTGTAGTGTTGCTCCATGTGGCCTGACCCTGCAGATCCCTTGCATTACTTTTGCATCCTTGAACAATTCTTGTGGACATCAATGGGAGATCCAACCCTCTAACGCTTTCAGGATCTGAGCCACAGCATCACTTAGCTTTCAGCCACTGTTAAAAGAATCAGCCACATTTTGTAGTTCAGGTACCTTGAACATGGGCGACTGGTGATACCTTAGTCGGGGGGGGCACAGTGACAAGTCAGCGACTGGGGGCAGGGTGTCCCCCCCACGGCCAATCTCACCGCAGCACTCCCACTCTCTGGCTGGCACTTGCGGGGGGACACCAGCATTCCCGTCTGCCCCCTGCCCATTGCCTAAGCAGCAAGTAAGCACAGCCTGTCAGGGGGTGCACTGACGTTCTCAGGGGGTGCACATGCACCCCCGCGCACCCCCTATGCATCGCCACTGATCTTGAGTATATTTGACTAGTCTGTCAACCTAAGCAAACTTAGAAGACGGAACATTCCAGCCGGGTGAGAACACTGACCTTTTTAAAGAAGTACAGGCTCAGTTATTTAGGATTGTGGGATTTAGAGAAATTGTAAAGATCACAGTTGATTTTCATTCTGATATTTGTGATTTGTTCAGGAAGAAATAAAATGTGTCCACTATACATTTTCTTATGACCTCTAGTTGACACCAAAAAGATTTCTCAGATAGTTTAATTAACGATTTAAACACAACTACAAGTCCCTCCACAGGTTTCCTTGGACATACAGTTTTACCCTAAATAATGCCTCTTATGAATACAATCTTAATATTCCTTGCCTGGAATCAGACTGGTTCAGCAAGAAAGCTTGAGACATTTGTGAAGTAATGGAGCCCACCATGTGTTTAAAGAGGCTTCAGTTCTTTGCCCTACCTAGCCCATATAACTACAGTGGCAGATCATTTTGCAAAGTTCCATTGAAGCTAGTGTGTATCTGCACAGATGCAGCAGTCCCTTCATGTGGGTGAAGTTCTGGGATTACAGCTCAGATGTGTTCACTTAGGGCATGGTTCTGATTTCTCAAACTTGGGCTTTATACTGTAAGAGAAATTTACTGGAGTGCCTTCTGATTTACAAGACATACAGTTTAGATCAGAATTAGATCTACTAAGTGCTTAATCACCCTGAAATAGGAAAGTGGAATTGGCTTCTTCATCACTCATGGCCCATCAGGCATAATGCAAATTTTGTTGGTTTAAATATGCCTACCATCGGTTGCATCTGTAACCTCCCTTATCAGTCTACAGACTGATACAGATGTAACTCAGAGAAGAGTTAAGCCTGGAAACTGGAATTTAGCTAACAGTTGAGGGTGTCAAGTCAGTGCTTCTCCCCTAAACAGTTGTCCCTGTAGTAGTAAAGGATTTAAAAGACAATAACTTGTATTTTGTTAGTGAATTAAGTAGCTCTGACTACATGAGAACAGATTTCTTGAGTGGTGCAATCCTGTTTTCACCGTTACTTTCTCCAGAAGAACACAGCAGAATGGTTTTCAAGGTAGTCAATTGTAGTCTTAAACCATTTATAATATTAAAATAATTATTTCAATATTATGAACACTGTTTTAGAATTATCTACTTCAGTGTTCACCAACTTGGGCATTGTTCTGAGGGACCATTTTATTTTCTCACTTTTTTAATCAAGAAAGTTTACTTTTCAAATCAGATTACCTCTGGTTCTTAAAGAGAGACAAATAGGTTAAAAAGTTTGAAACATTAACTTATCTTTATCACCTAAACAAACAAATTTCCTTCTTAAATTCTTACTGTAAAACTACAGCTCACCTGTAGCGGTCAGGAACTTCCAAAGTAGCTGATTTTAAAGTAAACATGAATCATAAAAATGCTTGAGTATTAATGACTCAAGATTACTTGGTCATTTGTGGCTGGAATCAGGAGGGAAAGCTGATTTCATTTCCTTTAGGTATAATTTAGAGGGTCAGGTTTCTACTCTTTTAACAAACCATCTTCCTTTCCTTACCTGCTTCAGGATGTTGTAACGATCTATCTTATTCTTGTAAGTGAAAGTAGCAGAGCTTATCAGGCTGTGGTTTGCTGGATGCTCTTGCTCTTTGGAGTTGTTTCTCTGTGAATAGTGGGAGTAGTCTGTTTTTCTCCCTGAACAAGTGCCAATGTAATCAAAGACTTAAATGCTTGCTTCATTCAAAACCAGAAACTGACTTCTGTTTGTTCATTGATGTTAATGCTTTGCTTGCAATGTTTTGAAAAGTCAGAACAATACAATTCCTCTCAAACACAATTTTTTTGATAATTCAGGTGGAATTTTCAAAGGGATTGGAGATGTTAGGCACTCAGTGACATAGGATGTCAATAAAAGTTGGGTGATTAATTCCCTTGAGCACCTCTGAAATCCATAGCCATCATGTGTATCTTATGCAATCTATTTACAGCTGCACATATAAAACAGGCATTTTGATGTGCAAGTTAGCACACCAGTCCTTCATTGAGAAAGAAACTATCACACAGTGCCATGTATTGCCTCCAAGGTGTTTGCATTTGAAGGTTCCTGCATACATTTAAAGTACATGTTTGATGACAAATGCTAAACCAGATTCAATCTGTAAGTGTTATCAGCCCCTTTTGGGGATTATTAGGTTTGTGCAGGATCATGAAAATGTGCAGATTCAAGATAGTCAACCGTCTGACACCTATTTCCAGGCAAACAGATTTGTCCTATTAATTGAATGGTATGATTGGTCAGTTAACATTTAAAGTAAAGATTGCTGGAGCTGGAGCTGGTCCCTCACAGCATACTTGCAAGCAAGCTAAGGAAGTATGGGTTGGATGACTGGACTGCAAGGTGGATAGAAAGCTGGCTGAATCATTTGGGCTAAATGGGTAGTGATCAATAGCTTGAGTAAATTGGCAGCAGGTATCAAGTAGAGTGTCCCAGGGGTTGGTCCTGGGGCTAGTTTTGATTAATATCTTCACCAATGACCTGAAAGGTGGGATGGATTACACCCTAAGCTGGTTTGTGGATGACACCAAGCTGGGGGGAGTAGTAGATATGCTGGAGGGTAGAGATGGGATTCAAAGTGACATAGGCAAACTGGAGGGTTGGGTCAAAAGAAATCATATGAGGTTCAAAGACAAGTGCAAAGTCTTGCACTTAGGTCAGAACAATCCCATACACTGCTACAGGCCTGGGACCAACTGGTTAAGCAGCAGTTCTGCAGAAAAGGACCTGGGGGGTTACAGTGGACAATAAGGTAGATATGAGGCACCAGTATGCACTTGTTGCCAAGAAAGCTAATAGCATTCTGGGCTGCACTAGTAGGAGAGTTGCGAACAGATCCAGGGAAGTAATTATTCCCTTCTATTCTGCACTGGTGAGGCCACATCTGGAGTACTGTGTCCAGTGTTGGGCCCCCCACTAGAGAAAGGATGTGGATAAGTTGGAGAGAGTCCAGCAGAGAGCAATGAAAATAGTTCAGAGAACTGAAACACATGACTTCTGAGGAGAGTCTGAGGGAACTGGGCTTATTTAGTCTGCAGAAGAGAAGACTAAGAGGATATTTGATAGCAGTCTTTAAATACCTGAAGGGTGGTTGCAAAGAGAAGGGAGCTAGACTGTTCTCAGTGGAGGCAGATGACAAAACAAAGACCAATGGTCTCAAGTTACAACAAGGAAAATTTAGGTTAGATATTAGGAAAAACTTTCTCACTAGGGGAGTGGTGAAACAATGGAACAGGTTTCCTAGAGAGGTGATGGTATCTCCATCCTTGGAGGTTTTTAAGGCCCAGCTCAACAAAACTCTAGGTGGAATAATGTAGTTGTGGATGGTCCTGGTTTGAGCAGGAGGTTGGACTAGATGACCTCCTGAAGTCCCTTCCAAACCTAATTTTCTATGATTCTATGATTCTATATTTGATACAGATCCTAAATGGCTTAAAAATCTGTGTGTTTGCATTCAGGCTTGGACCCATCCCCTTTCAAGCTCGCTGGCCAATTTGGTGGTGAGAATTCCATTGGAAGTCTGAGGCAAGAAGACAGAAAAACTTTGGGGCTTTTTTGGTCGGACTGTGTGAAGCTTCAGTATTCGCTTCGGAGGAGATTTGGCCTGATTCAGCAGGTAAATCTCTGAATCCAAATTCAATCAAAAGATCCATTAAAAGCTCCAAATTGAGTCAAATTGAAGCCTACGAATCGATTTGGAAAAGATTCAGAAAAGATTTGGAGATTTGGGAGGCAGACATGCAGGGAGGGGGAGGAGGGGGTGAAAAGACTGCTCTGATATTGACATCTGTAGCTAGCCAGTGACTGATCTTTCTCTGAGTTCCCTTCCAATCACAGTGCTCTGGGGGAGGGACATAGAAACAACATATAAGGCAATGTGTGAACTCATTTGTGTGCCTTTGGTGAGCTGTCAATCTGTCTCTCTGTTGCAGCAGCAGCTTCTGAAGGGCTCTGGCTTGGTAGTAGTTAGTCTCTTGCCACCAAGTTCTATCCAATCCTTTCCTATTTACTCTTGCCTACAATCCCTATTGTTATCCATTCATTTCAGCTTATTCTTCCCCAAAAATCCTCTTATTTGTTCTTGTTAGCCTGTCTTTCCACCACCACCCCCCACCTCCCAAAAAGAAATCTGTGTTTTCCTTGACGGTGTGTCATCACCATGTAGGAAAACACAACATATATTACATATATTACACACAGACACACACACATTTTGCAGCACACCAAATATCATGAAGCATGCTGGAAAGGCAGGTGCCAGGTCTTCTGGCAGGAGAGGGAGAGGGGACAGAGGGAGAGCTTCAAGTTCCTGCGCCTGCCCAGCAAAACATAGATGCAACCTCTTTCCTGGCAGTGAGGAGTCTTCTGCTGCTAGTGGGAGCAAGGATGTGGGAGCAGGTCTGCACCTGCAGCAACACCAGTAACCAAAACCAGCAGCAGCATGACATTCTCCACTCCAATTTCAGTTGCCACCATGAGCCTTCCAGTGCCAGAGGAGGAGTTGGATCTAGAAGCAGGGGGGTTGAGTGCCATAGCTAAGGAAATTCTGGTAAAGTAGGGGGAAATCTGAGTTTGTGCTCCACACCCCTTACAGTTCCCCTAGAGGCAGGTCTCCTTCTCCAGAAGGCACTGCAAAGGAGGTTGTGGGGGCAGGTGGCTCAGCTACTCCTGTTGCTGTGCCTCTGCCTGCTGAGGAGGGGATAAGGCATGATTGCCACCCGCAACCCAGAAGTGGGTGGGTAGTGTAGTGTGGGATCATTTTGAGATGGCAGATGATCCCAGGTATGCTACCTGACAGCACTGCTGAAAGCAGATCAGCCAGGGCAAGGACGAGAAATATTTTACCACCACAGTGATGCTGCGATATCTCAGGAGGCAGCACCCCCTTGCCCTTTTTCCTCCTCATCCTGGCACCAGTGGCAGTGCACTCAAAAAGAAGTCACCATCTTGCTCCAAAGGCCCCGTCCCCAAGAAGCAGAAGCAAGCCACCCTGGACCACTGGGGAAAAGGCAGGGAAAAAGGGGGACGTGTTCCCAATGCGAGCAAAGTCACTCAGACCATTGGGGAGATGCTTGCTCTGGATGGCCAACCCTTCTCCTTAGTTGAATGGCCAGGGTTCAGGCTGCTCATGTTGCTCGTGGCCCTATTCCACCAAGTGCCTGCATGCACCACCGTTAGCAGGATGGTGGTGTCCTCCCTGTATGAAGCATGCAGGGAGTACTTGAGGGAGGAGCTGCAGAAGGCAGGGCTACAGGTAGCTTTACATGTCACCTCAGACATCTGGAGCAGCCGGGGTGGAGATCATGCCTACCTCTCCCTCACAGGGCACTGGTGCGATCATTCAGGGTGTTGGTGGGCTCTCCTTGAAGTGGAGGTGATGGAGAGTGGGATTAGTGGCCCCCTCAACAAAACTGAGTGGGATACCATCTCCCAGATCTTGGTGGTCCTCAAGCCATTCCTCGAGGCCACCAAGAGCCTCAGCGCTGGTGATGCCCGCCCTAGCCAGGTTATCCCCATAGTGAGGGAGCTTGAGAATGAAATGGAGAAGTTCCAGGGGATCAGTGTTCCTAGCTGGGGCAAGCCGCTTTCACCAGAGGTGCAGGCATTGGTGAAGGAGGGCATAAAAAATGGCTGGATCCATTGCAGTCCAGTACAGTCCATGCTGGCAGGCATGTGCAACCCGAGAGTGAAGGGGAGCATCTGCAGCAGCAAAACCCTTGATCACTGGACAGAAGTCCTAGTGAACAGAATCAGGAAGGGAGAAGGGCAAAGGCAGGGGGACATGGAAGAGGTGGATCCGCTGTCCCATGCCAGCCCTCCATGCACCAGTCAATTTCCTCCACCCCAGCCACTGCTAATGTGGGGCAAGGGCATGGCTTCAATGTTGGGGTCCAGAGGCACCAGACCCCACAATCCAGTAGGTAGTGCAGAGGCCTTGCTGGCTACATATCTCGCCATGGATGTGGGGCCACTGCAATGCAACCCCTTTGCCTATTGGGCAATCCACAGCCAGATGTGGCAGGATCTGGCCACGGTTGTCGGGGAATATTTGTCCTGTCCACTGATCAGTGTTCCAAGCAAGAGGGTGTTTAGCGTTGCTGGGGATGTTCATAGATTCATAGATGCCAGGGTCGGAAGGGACCTCAATAGATCATCGAGTCTGACCCCCTGCATGGGCAGGAAAGAGTGCTGGGTTCAGATGACCCCAGCTAGATGCTTATCTAACCTCCTCTTGAAGACCCCCAGG